TAAAGAATGTTCACTGACAATGACTATGGATAAAAGGAATAAATAAATGTTGGTCTCAGAATTTATAAATTTATGGATCCAATTCACATCTGCAGAGAGGAGAGAAAACTCTTCTCATGCTTCTAAGTCAATAAACTGATCAGAGGATGAGAGTACTATTTGACAGGAAAATGATGCAAGTGGAGAAGAGAAATGAAGAAATGTGGGAGTTATCAGCATGTAGAGATCATTGAAGAATTTCATGGGAATCTGTGGCTTTGACTTACTGGAAGAGTACGCGAATCCACCAGGAAGTGGGTTCAATCCCTGCCCTCATTAAGATGGTTTCTGTCATATCTGATTTTAGTATTTTTCTTTCCATTGTTTGAATATTACTATAAGCTACAGTACTTTGTAAGTATTACTAAACATAGTACATTTTGTTTTTCTAATGAAAATTTAGATATTTAAATAAAAGAGTGTGCAGAATGTTAGAGTATGTTTAAAATATGATTTTTAAAAAATTCAGGTAATTCTTGGAAACACTGATTTATTGTCCTTGAATCTCAAATGAATACAACAGGAATATGAAAAATCATATTCCCTTATATCTTATAACCTAAGATTTATCATTGTTGCTCAATAAAAATTTGTTTTTAAAACGTTAATTATTTAGAAAACTATGTTTCTCAGGGCAACACATTATCCAGGGAAATTTCATCTTTTTCTTTCATTGGACTCCGTGCAAACAGGCAATGAGGTTGTCAGATGACAGGAATAGAAATTTAACTACTATGGGTGTACAAATCCCAACACAATAGATGATCTCACTATAATAAAAATATCCTAAGCAATTTTAATGTCTGGTCTACTTTTATTATCTCTGATTATACTTAGTCATAACTTAGGTATTATTTATACTTTAGAGTGAACTGTTGTTGAAAATAGATATGACCTTGAACAATTATACACTTCAGTAGATATGATTCATAGTAGACATCTATATTAAAACATATAAATACAATTAAAAATAAATTTCAAGCCAGATGTGGTGACACACAACTTTAATCCCAGCACTTGTGAGGCAAAGGCTGGCAGATCTCTGTGAGTTCAAGGTCATCCTGGTCTACATAGTGAGTTCCAGGACATCTGGGGCTACAGCGAGACACTGTCTCAAAAAGACTAAAAAAAAAATTTCAAGTATGGTATTTATTGAAATAAGTTGTTATTCTTTTCTACTGAATTTCTGAGAAATTCTTCAAATATAGACATTTCCCCTATTATAACTCTCACCTCTCCCTGGGTGATGTCATGCAAATACATATATATAATA